TTTTCTCCTAGACTTTGTCTCAGTGGAGAGAAGGACAGGCAGGAAGTCAGATGTGAGGAGACTCCATGCTGCTTTTGTTGAGATTTGGTTACGGCTACAGTTTGGGTTATGATGTATCCCCCAAGGTCCATGTGTTGTAGACTTGGCCCTCAGTCTACGATACTAATGGGTTGGGAGGTGGCAGAAGCTTAAGAGGTCGGGCCTACTGGAACGATGCTAGGCATTGAGGCTGTTGCCTTGAAGGGGATATTGGGGCCCTGGTTTCTTCCCACGTCTCCCTTTTGCTTCTAGGCTGCATGTAGTGACCAGCTTCTTCCACTTGACTCTCACTGAACTGCAAGCCCCATCATAGGACCAAACACAAGGGGGTCAAATAAGCATGGACTGAAACTTCTGAAAGTATAAACAAAACAAACCTTTTCCCCTTAAAATTTATTATCTCAGGTATTTTGTTATAGTATCAAAAAGTTGATAAACACTGTTACACACTCCTACTGTTCTGGTTGTTTCCTGTTTCTTTGACAAAAACCACTGCTCAGGAATATTGTCAGAGTGGGAAGAGTATTCACAGGTTGAACAAAGCACCAGTAGCAGCTAACTTCAGCTAGTTTGTCTAAGGTGGAGTCAGAGAAATGCCTCTTCAACATTAGCCTAAAATTCCAAGGAAGCCTTGTGAAAAGTCAGAAGGGCCAGTTCTGTACCCACCCAGTTTTGTTGTCACTTGGGAGCAGCCGCTTGTGGGCCTCTGTTTCGTCATTTATAAGACAAAGGAGACTGGAAAGGCACTTCCTAAAATGCCTTTAGATTCACAAGACACAAAATAACTATAGTGCACAGGGAGCCTTAAGTAGCCTTCAACCACATAAAATGTTATTCCAGCCAGTTCTCCTTAAAGTCTTCTAATCAAAGCCAAAAGAAAGTTTTACTTTGGTTGTTTTACTTAAATATTGTATTTTTTTTACCATCAGGTTATTATGTTCACATTTTTACCATCACCTTTCAAGCAACTGATTTTTTTTCACCTTTATTGTAACATTGACTTCCTTTTTAAAATAAGTTGATTTAAGTAAAAAAAAAAAAAGTTGTTTTTTTGATAGCCACTGTTTATTGAGCAGCTACTACAGACCCTATACTTCACATGCATTTTCTCATGTTCTCAACAATTTTAAAAATCATGGTCTGTAACTTATTAGCTATACAACTGAGAACAAAAATTAACTAATTTGCATGAAGTCAGATGTGAAATGAATCTTTCTGATCTTTAAGTCAAAGCTCCTGCCTACTGTGCTCCCCCACCCACCTCCCCCTCTCCAACCCCTCCCCACCCCCACCCCGCTTGTCGCCCTCCCTGCTTCCAATGCTAGAGTCCACACTCACATGAAACCACACAGCTGGCCACATCTGGGCCCTTCCTCAACATTGCCTTTATAGCTCTGAGACTCTCTCCCAGTGTGGCTTTATCCAAGGTCTCCTCTACTCTCCCTAACCATGATGTCGGCTCAACTCACCTCCTCTTCTTTTCTCTATTCCACTCTAGACAACTGAAAAGTCATATTTGCACCTGTTAGTACTGCGTTACTAGTCCAGGTGGACTTTACAGCCAGGCTGTGGTGGTGCACACCTTTAATCCCAACATTCAGGAGGCAGAGAGAGGTGGATCTCTGTGTTTGAGGCCAGCCTGGTCTGCAGAGTTAGTTCCAGAACAGCCAGGGCTACACAGAAAAACCTGCTCTTGAAAAACAAAACAAAACAAAAACAAACAAAAAGCACCACAAACAAAACCAAAAACAAGTCTAGATATAGTTTTATGAATAAAGCTTTTGAATATAGTTTTATGAATAAATCTGTTCCAGCAGTTTGGCACCGTGTATTGAAACTTTCCAATGCATGTTTTTTGACAACAGAGACAACACCTGGGAATACAGGTAGAGACAGTGTTGAAGATTTCTAACCCAAAGAAATGCCAGGCACCTGGGGTGATAAATATGCAAATTGTCCCCATATGATCATTGCGTAATAATACATGTACTGAAATATTATTCTGCATCCCATATGTGCGTGCACTGACTGTGTGACAATTACAGTTAAAAGGTATTTTTAAAGGAAAGGAAAAGGGCCAGAGAGCTGGCTTAGAGAACTGGCTGCTCTTCCAGAGGACCCAGGTTTGTTTCCCAGAACCCGTATGGTGGCTATCAACCATCTGAATTCCAGTTCCAAGGGACCCAACTCCCTCTTCTGGCCCCTCTGTGGAGATCATGCATGCATGTGCTGCACAGACATACATGCAAGCAAAATACTGATACACTTAAAAAAAATAATTCTTTTTTTTTTTTTCTCTGTGTAGCCCTGGCTGTCCTGGAACTTGCTCTGTAGACCAGCCTGGTCTTGAACTCAGAGATCTACCTGCTTCTGCCTCTGGAGTGCTGGGACTAAGAATGTGTACCACTACTTCTGGCTAAAAATAAATATTATAAAAAATTAAAGTAATAAAATCATGGTGTTTACAGAAAAAGAGTAAATATACTAGGTACCACTCCTGGGGCTGAATGCCCAATAACCATGTACATGGCTGTGGGTTTGAGTCTCAGCCACACACACACACACACACACACACACACACACACCCTCTGTCTATATGTGCTTATGTACACATGAAGTGTTGACTGTCATGGACGACCTGATAGCACAGGCCTATAATCCCATCTACTCAGGAGGTTGGGCCTAGAGAATAAATAGTTCATGGTATGTCTGGGTTACAGAATGAGTTCAATACTAGCCTCAGCAATTTAAGGAGATCCTGACTTAAAAAAAAAAAAAGTGAAGTTAGCATCCCAAACAAGCCCGTAAGAGAGTAATCTCTGGAACATTCCGTAACAGCAGAGCTGGACATCATGGTGCCTAAGGATGCAGGTGAACAGATCTTGGGTTAGATGAAAGATGAACTTCTGCCGAACAGGACACATCAATTTACTTTGGTTGCACAAGGCAAGATGGATGTAACTGAAAAAATCTCATCACCAGCTAGTGTTTATTGATCACTTAGGATCCCTTCTGACACCCAAAGAAGTAAGCACTGTTTTGTTTTTTTTTTTTCCTTTTGCAACAATGTTTTATTCAAACACTTTTTTTTTTATCTTTAAGAATAAGAAACTCAATTCAAATAACAGATTTAAAATTATGCTATTTAAGAGTTGCTATTTGGGAACAAACTCATTGATGAAAGTGAAGACTTAGTGATGTTCGACTGTGCAGATGTAGACCCTCACAGCACTGTCTGGTTCCACTTCCATGTCCCACTTTATTAAAACTGGGTGTTCTTTCAGCAACAAGGAACCCTCCATACCTCTGTTTAACTATAAAAGAAATGTAAAAATGTTTTGAATTGTCATTGTTTGGCAGTGATTAATAATAGTTTGAAGTGAGCAGTTCCAGCTATTATAAAAGCAATTAGCACCTTATTCCTTCTCTTAGGCAACTTAAAATGATGAATATTTCTCCTGTTGGAGGAGAAAGTGAGTGGCAGCTGATACTTTATTCCAAAGTTGCCTTTTGTTTTCACAAAGGAAAGAACCTAATACCTTTGCTTGGATTCTAATCATGTCAGATAATATCAGAGGAGCTATTTCCACAAGTGTGGTAAGTTTTTTTCCCTCCTGCTCAGCTGTACCCCATAGGCCACTCAGTCTCCATGCGAGTTCCCTAGTAAGGGTTGCAGAGGCTGTCTCTGACATGGACTCAGTAGCTGCCTCTTTGATCACCTCTCCCCCCCACCCCCGGGGGGGGGTGGGCAACCTTGACAGGCCACAGAGGAAGAGGATGCAGACATTCCTGATGAGACCTGATAGGTAGGAGGACTTCCCCTATCAGTGGAGTAGGGAAGGGGAATTGGGGCTGGAGGAGGAGGAAGGGTGGGACTGGGAGGACATGAGGGAGAGGGCTACAGCCGGGATACCAAATGAATATATTGTAATAAATGAATAAGGAAATAAAATAAACAAGAATAAAAGAAGTAAAAAGAAGTAAGCACTGTTATGGGTGCACTTTGCACATGGAGACTATGAAAGTGGGAGGAGTACTTTGACTTAGAGTGACTGTGTAAGGTAGCTGAGACGTGGAAGTGTGAAGCCAGGGACCCAGGAGGCTCCAGAGAGAGGTGGAAGGTTTGGTGCTCCAGTGATTTCTGAGTGCATGCACTAACGTACATGTGTGTTTGGGCTGGGCACACAGGTGGGCACATATGTGGTGCTTTTTCCTTGCCTGTGCTGACAATTGCGTATGGGCAAGCACCACACCCTGCCACTGTGCTGTGAGCCCTGGAGCTTTTCCTACAGCGGTAAAACAGATGAAAGGGGCTGGGGCTGGGGCTAGATGAACAGAAAGCAAGAGGTATCTCCCCCATAAGAAAAGGAGGACCTTGGGGCATGGTAGACCAGGGAGACAACATCAGGGAGGGTCTCTCAGGACAGGGTGGCGCCTGCGGCCTCAGAAGGTGGGCTCAGCTGACTTGCCAGCGTTCTTCTCCCTTACGCAACGTGCCAGCTTTAGCTACATTAGTGTAACCCTGGGAAAGGTCCCAGTAAGGGTAGGATGGCAAAGACACCCTGTGCTCTCCACACAGTTCCTCCCTTAGGCCAAAGTGGGGAGCATTTGTTCATCCAGAGTTCCGGGGTGACCAGCAGCTGGCAAGTGTGAAATGACGCCCAGAGCCAAGTACCACTGGGAATAGGTACAAGGAAGACTACGGCAGAAAAGGCCCGCGGTCTTGGTTCAGACCCTCCATTTCCCTAGAGAACAATAGCAGTCTGTGGTTATAGGGGACCCTGGAACGTACTATTTAGAGGCTGTAGTGGTTGGTGTGGGAGTGTTCTGTAGCATTCCAGGCCATTGTTAATGACACATCAATACAACAGAAGCTACGAACAGGACCTTAAGTAGCCTTCTAACCCCGCCCTCAATCAGCCCCTAGTCCCTCACAGGGAATCGGGGAAGTCCCATCCTACCTTTGGTTAGGGAGTGAATCCCCAGCTTGACCTGGGAGAAGTTTCCGCTTCCGATCTCCCCTCGAATTCGATAGAAGCCGATGCGCTTCCCCAGCGTGATCTCCCTCAGCACCTTCTCATCTTGGCACATGTCCTGAGTCAGTTTCTCGAAGGGTGTCAGCTGGCGTGGCAGACCCTCCTCACCCTCCTTACCGCTCTCGGCCTGCCCGCCGCTGTCCACGCTGTCCCTCCGGTCCCCCCGGTCACGGCGTGTGTTCACCAGGCCGCCTCCATTCACAAACACTGCAGTCATCGTCCATGCAGGATCACGTCTTCATCTCGGCCCAGAGCCACTGTCGGGGCAGCGTGCTGGACAGGCCGAGGCCGAAAGGGAGGCAAATGGGAGCCGAGGCCGGGAGTACAGAGTCCATGAGAGCGGGTGGAGCGGGGAGATGAGCAAAAGTCCTTGTTGTGACCGACAGAACCTGCACAGCCCAGCAGGGCCTCAGTCCAGGCTTCTCCCACCTTCCCTCACCTTGGGTTTCCAAGCTCTGGCTGTACAAGCAGATGTACGTTCAGTTACCATAACTCCTCCTGAGGTGGAATCTGATGCTTCGTGTTGGGTGGCCTTGATGGAGGAGGGGTGGGGGACAGAGGCTCCGCTCTGTTACTTCCCTGTGTCACCAGACAGTTTTGCCCTCCAGAGTGTAAACGCCCCTCGGAGGCCCCCCGAGTCCCTGCAGCGGGTGCTCATCGCTCACCTTCATTTCGTGTTTCTCTTGACCCTGGGAACTTGATCGGAACTCCAGAAGGGAAGAGTCTTGTAAATCAGCTTTTGGTCACACAGGCAGCCAGAGAAGGATTAAATCCCCACAATGTCACTTTAGCCGGCCTTTATTTAGTTGAGCCCTCTTCTAAGCCCTGAGCTGTCCTGAAAATTTGGTAGGGGACGGCTCATCCTAAGGACAGAGAGTGAAATAGTTATTAGCACACTCTAATAGGCTGCGCCGGAGAATGCCACAGCTTTATGAAAATCTTTGTAACAGCACGCTACAAATTTATGAGTCATATTAACAGTACATGCTAAATGACATATCGTCGGACAAAGAGACATGTATGCACGCCTGCAGTGCGCTCTTTAGGAAAGCCTTTCTAGTCCGTGTATCTTTCAAGCAAGGCAATTCTATTGCCTGAAGTTTAGGACAATACATGCATTGTATTATTTTAGTTCAAAAATAGATTTTAAAAAAAGATGCAACCATAATAACGACAAAATTTACCGATTTTCAAACTGCCTTACAGTTTTGAGAACGTGTTTTATCTCCCTTAATGCCTTCATGTTCCAGGACAGCTCCTCCTTCACTCGTTGCTTTCATTCTTGCTGTTTTTCAAATGACAAAAACAACTTTTCTCCTATGCTTATTCTTTCTGTATATTTCTGAACGTGCTGTCAGCCTCCCCTTTATGGGAGAGCCGGACTTGGAGGGCAAACCAGGCTACTGCATGGCCAGTAGTGGGAATGCTGCCTGTGGCCTGCACCCAGTCTTTGCCTGCACCCTCTGTTCTCTATTCATTGTCCTAGGTTCCCAGAGTCCTTTGAGATGTTAATAAAATAGCAGTAAGCCTTCTCCCTTTGGCTCCTTTTTTTTTTTGTTTGTTTGTTTGTTTGTTTGTTTGGTATAATTTCTGAAATGTCACTTCTCTCCATGAAGGTAGAAAGCACCTCCTGCCCCCACTTCCCTCCCATGGCGTGGAAGGTGGAGCCATGTGTGTTGTACTTTCACTAAATGTGGTTTGAAGTTGATTTTTTAACTTGAGCATATTTTTGAACTAAAATTTGGCAAACACACACACAAATAAAAATAAAACAAACAAACAAACAAAAACCCTACAACCTAAACAGATTGCCCTGGAGGTACAGATTTTCTGTCTGTTTGAAGATATATTCGTGTTATGAACAGGACTGCCCATATAGCTGTTATAGGCTGAGCATAGGGTTGTTAAATGAAAGGGGAGGAGGTTCCTGCCCAATACCCCTGTTTCTGGATATGGGGACATGAAGGTGAGAGGAGAATACAGGGTGAAAAGGGGCCACATCGCAGGAACTACCACAGCTCCAAGGTAGACTGATTCAGATGGTTAAAAAATGTTAAGGCAACAGTTTGTTTACTGAATTAAGTTTAAGACACCTATTAGTACACGTCCTGGGCTCACAGGCTCATCCGAAACGATAACAGAATCTATGATCAGAAAAAACACAGCCTTCACAATTTGCATCCAATGTTAGAGAGTTCACAGACACTCTGAAACTAATCTCTGTATGTCTGTCTGTCTAAGCGAAAGTCAAGTGAGACTAGACACCATTATATTTGCAACACAGAGCTCATGAGAGACAGGAGCAGCATCAATCATAATTCTGAAAGAAACTTTAGCTTAACCTATGCAAAAGAGAAGGGCTAGCCAAGGCACTATGAAAAACCCTTGGCTCTGTCCCTCTGGAATGCCTCCTCACTGGACTGCCCCTGTCAATGGCCCATTTTACCACAGCTAAGTAAATGAAGGTGTACTTTGCTCTTTCAGTGTCCCAGGGTTCTCTGTACAGTGCCTGGCACTCACCTGATAAGTTTGTTGAAGAAGAAATGAACTAAGTACCAAGTTACCCAATGTTAGACTTTAGTATGATTCAGTAGAGGGAAGTGTTTTTATTTATATACTAGACCAACATTTACTTTCCATTATCTCTGAAAACTTACTTCAGTACATTCTTTCCAAAGCCTGGGCTCTGTTCTACCAGGATTAGGTAGGATTCTTGACCCCACCTTCCTGTGTAGATGAAAATCTTCGATGCAATTCTATCACCAGACTAGGAAGTGTTGCAGGACTCCTTACAAATGCATCTCCTTGTCCTTGTTGCTTATGAGAGCACCAGTCTTCCTGAGCCCTCAGAACTTCAGGGACCTGCTTCCCGAGTGCCACACAATCACTGGCCACACAACTACTCGTTGTCTGCTTTCCTGGGTCCCCAAAGCTCTCAATTTGGGCTCTGTATCTTGAGCTGCACTCAGGCTCCAAAATTACAACAGTGTTTTAATTTTATTAGCCTAATTAACTGTTGGTGCTTCCTAGGAATGGCACTCAGCACCGGGTGGGTGGCGGAGGTCAGATATGATTACTGATGGTGGTCAAGCTATATAGTGGCTTACCCTCAAGTTCAATTTCTTTCTCTTTCTTTCCTTCTTCCTTCCTTCCTTCCTTCCTTCCTTCCTTCCTTCCTTCCTTCCTTCCTTCCTTCCTTTCTTTTTCTTCCAAGACAAGGTTTCTCTGTGTAGCCCTGGCTGTCCTGGAACTCACTCTGTAGACCAGGCTGGCCTTGAACATTAGAGATCCACCAGCCTCTGCCTCCAGAGTGCTGGGATTAAAGGAATGCACCACCACTGCCCATTAAGTTTGATTTCTTGCAATGTGGTCTTAAACCAATTTTCTTTTCTTAACAGCCAAGAAAACAGATAACCTTCTGTTTAAATTAGATGAAGGAGCTTTTACAAATTTACAAGAATTATGTTTATATTGAAGAAGAATTTGAAACTTGTTGGTAATGCTAATAATCTAATTAGGGAGAAAATAAACCCTTTCCTACTCCAAAATAAATCATATAAGTCAATATAAGCAAAAGCATAAAACACAGGGGTTGGGGAGTACCTCAAAGGTTGAAGGTTGCAGAGCCAAAATCATGGGAACTACTTGAGTGTGGAAGAGACCAAAATCAAAGCTTTTACCTCTCCAAACCTACCTAGACTGGACCATTCTCTGCCCCCCTCTCCCTGTCTAGTTCAGGAAGAACCCTGGGCACAGGAGAGAGCTTGAGGTGAAACTTGCTTATGGAATCCTGTTCCTTCATCTTCCTGCACTTGTAGTTTCTGGAAAGGAGGGGATAACTACTTATACCTCCAGGCAGGGTATTTTATTTTTGGCTGGACTATCTCAGGAGGAAGGGCCTTCTGAAACCTACATTTGGAGACTGTGCAAAGCAAAAGCTCTCTGACTGCTCACTGCACAGTCCTTGGGGACCAGTGCCATATACAAACACACACACAGAGACAGAGAGAGACAGACAGACAGAGTCACAGAGACAGAGAGAGACAGACAGACAGACAGACAGAGTCACAGAGACACAGAGACACAGACAGACAGACAGATACACACAGAGAGAGATAGGGGACAGAAACAGAGTTTCCCAACAAGTCTTAGTTTCTTCCTACTAGAGTGAATGGCCACCCAAGGGGCATCAAAGGAAGGGCTCCAAAATGGAAGAAACCATACCCACCCAAACCACCACAACAGCCAAAATTAAATTCAAGGAAATAGAACAAAAAGGAAGAAGAAAACATCCACAAAACCAAACCAAAACACTAAAAGTCAAAAAACCCACTCAGGAGACAAGAAAGAACACTCTTGGGAACTAAATTATGTACTTGAAGACTTCTTTTTTTACTCTTTAAACCTAGAAGAGATGAACAAGAGGACAGTAGAAAAAAAGTCTGGACAAGCATATCAGAAATCCCAACATCTGATTATCAGAATTCCCAGTCACAGTTACTTTCTCAGTAATGACAAACATACGTGTCCTGTTACTCTTGAATGCCAATAAATTGTGGACTTTTCTAAAACAGTTATGAATGAGGAGAAACTCCACACACTCTCCCGTTCTGCTAGAATGAAAATCTGAATGAAAGAATGCACAGGAATGGTAAATCTGCCTAGCTGTGTGTGTCCATGGGTGAACACTGGCTCATTCTGTAAAGTTTTCTTTCCTCTCCTGGAGACTTAACACTGAGTCTCTGTCAATAGAAATACTATTCAGAGTTTGAAGAGCTGCTACCAACAGTAACATCCTGACTGCTTTTTAGTAGTATCCCCAGACATTAAGCTATGTCATATTGAAAATTAAACAAAATAACAGAGTTAAGATATGCTCAATTCCAGATGAAATCTCCCATTTTTGTTCAGATGCAGGTAGTTCCTATTGTTGTTTTTGCCTTTTGCCCCTTTGATTTTGACCAATTTTTATGGACACTAACAAGAGCTTCGAAACTCAACCAGACAAAAATATGGAGTCATGTCATCATAGATCAAAGCATCCGGAGGAGGCAGAATGGCCCTTAATTATTAGCTTGCTGTTGCCGCACAGCGATGCATTAAATAAGATGAAAGAAAACAGGGCTTCCTTGGTAATTTATTTTCTTGACTTGCAACCTACTGTGAAAATATCAAAGGAAGCCATCTTGCCTTTGTTCTCTTTGTCTCAGTTTCAAAACCCCTGGGCAAGGCTTTCAGACAATCCCTCCTTTGGCTGGCAGGTCCAGGCTTGCTTAGAGGAAAATCTGGGGTTTTGTTTTATTTCTTCTATATGTGGCAACAAGATTGGGTGATAATCAGACTGTGGTTATAATCCCTCTCAGACATGTTACACCCTCACAGAGATTGTTAACAAACGCAGTCCATTTGAAAGTGTCATTTAGCATTTAGAAATAATTTGCACCATCATTACGTTTGGCCTTAGCTCTTATTTCTCAACACACACGCTGAGATCCCCACGGGGAGCAGTGAGGGCCCTTTGAGGCAAATGAAAAACCAGTGTGAACTGCTTCTGTGCACGCTGTCACGCAGCCGCTTCCCAGCTTGATACCACAGGCTAATTGGTACCAACATAAGCTGAAGATCAAGCTTATGTCTGTCAAGGTGTGTGTGTGTGATGCTCTCGTGCACACTCATGTGTGTGAGGCCATTCACGGGGGCATTGTCTGATGTAGAATGCCTAGCACTTAAAAATCACAAACATTCCATCCTTTAATGGAACAAAATTTAGCGGTATTTAAAACTCATATTGCACAGGGACAGGGGAGATGACTCAGCAGGTGAAGTGCTTCGTATTTAAGCATGAGGCGTGGATTTGGACCGC